TAAGGGGGGGGGATTCTGTCACAGTCTTCAGCGGGTGTGCCCAGGAGGGCCACCAGATGACTGTGTTCTGGGAGCACATGGCTTGTGTTGTTTGTCTGTTGCCATGTGCTCTCTCCTGTCTATTGTCTGGCCCCTCCCATCTTGTTACCTCGTTATTGTTTAAGTTGCTCCACCTGTGTCTCCCTCGTTAGCCTCCTCGTTTGGTTTCCTATTTATTTTCCTTGTGTCTGTCATCCTGTGCTGATCCGTCATTTCTCATTGTGTGTGTTTCGTGTCTGCATGTGTGCAGCTTTAGGCCTGCCTGTCTGTTTTTCCCCTTCGGGGTGGTTTGAGTTTGTTTTTGTTTCATTTTTTACTAAAATAAAATCCCATTTCTCCAGCGATTGAGTCCTCGCTTCATCTCCCCGCATGCACGCTAACACTTTTAATGTCTGGGATGTGTTTACACTGCAGAACAAAACAAAGGATTGTCGAGTTCTGTTTAATACAGAATTTATTTTTTTACTCATAAATAGAAACTCATCATAAAAGCCCATAGGAAAATCTTGTGGGAACCAGAGGGTGGTGTTTTGTCATCATACTTCCACTACTCTATTTCTCAAATGGGAAACTTTTTTTTTTCTTCTTCTTCTTCTTTGAACTGCCCTTGATTGAAATATAATTATTATTTTTTTGGCTTTATCTAGCATCCAGCTCTGACCTTAAGGAGTTGGTGAAATTTTGGCTGGGGTGGGAAGTGCCAGATAGAAAGATGGTAGTGGAAGTTGTTACTGCTGACATGCCGAAGTCCTCCACTTGCTTCAACATGCTACGATTACCAAGTCATTACATGGATTTCAGCCATTTTAAGGACGAGCTCCTTAAGTGCACTGGCACGTCTGAGTTTGGTTTTGGGCTTGTATAGTTATGTGAAATTGAATACAATAATACAGACACCATGTCTATAAATTAAGTTTGACCAAAAATTAACTTTTTGGTCAATTTTGATGCAGTTCATCTACACCCACACGTTCATGTAGAATTGCGGTTTTATTTTTGAGAAGGGGAAACCACTATGCAATAGTTTTCAACAGAGCAATTTAGCTCTCCATAGTGCCAATGTACTTAATTAAACAGTTCTTGAAAAAAAAGAAAAACATTTATTTTCCATCAAATAAATTTACATTCAGTTCCAGCACTTCATGTGTCTACTTAATGTGCCATTACTCAAGTGACTGGCAAAACTGCACTGCAGCCGTATAAATGTCTGTCCCGTGGGATTGGGATGGTGATCTTGGATCCACTGTGTCCTTCAGTGCTGCAAGTTGCTCTGGTGTAAGTGGACATTCTACAGTAGGAACATTAACACCAACACTTTCATCAGGAGGCAATCCACTGCTTTCCCAATCAATATCAGCAATGTTCAGTTCCTAGGTAAACAAAGAACAACATTTCTGTATAAATGGTATACAATCTCAGTTCCTGTAATAGTTAAAAATACTACATTTATATGAGTACTACAATGCTAATTAAGTGTTTAAATGTAAGTGAAGGAAAATGTTAATTCTCACAACCCCTGTAATATTTCAAACAAAAAAATGTAAACATGTCTGTAAATTTGCATGAACAATAATACCTCTTCATCTTGGGGATCATCAACTGGATAATGAATTTGACCCAATTCCCAGAGCTGGTTTGGAGACATGTTGTGTTCTGTTCTCAAAGGGTGATTATCCCACCCATCTCGGAAAAGATTTAGATCATCTTGTAGCCTTGGTAGGAATGTGTAGTGGCAACAGAAGAGACGTGTTTGGTCTGCAGTATGAAGGTAGTTGGCTTCCTCAAGATAGTGTAGTACATAGTACACACACTGGTCACGGCAGTCCACACATCTCTCCACAGTCGTTCTATTCTACAACATAAAGCATCACAAGATAATTCCTAAGCAATTAGTTGGTTCAAACAAGCATTTGGAGAATAAAGCATAAGGTTACATAGAAGATATGTCTGCTACACAATACTTTCTTTACATACCTTTGATTGTGGACACTTCTTCCTGAAATGAAACTGCTTCTCCCTGTGCCACGAACTGTGAACATTAAACGTGCAATGTCCACGTTCTCGACTCCATGGTCTCCTCTGACCCTGTAATGACCATAAAGTTGGTCAAGACAATGTTTTAATACTTAACATAATGC